TACATATATATATATATATATACATATATATATATATATATATATATATATATATATATATATATATATATATATATATATACATATATATATTTTTATATGTATAACATAAATGACTTAATATCAACAATAGTTTGAAGTGATTAACCTGATTATTTTGGATAGATGTTTCTGAGAGATGCATTTATGGGTATACATGGAAATCTTAGTGTTTGGAGGACATGTATTATATTAAAATTTATGATGATAAATATGGTTTCTTCATATCCAATCTCTATTTGGTACATGTTATTTAAGGGAGTTGGTTTGGCAAGGTGGGTATATCATGGAGGGTTATTATTTCGTAACCATATGTACATGTACCAATGGCCGTCTCATTTGACGTGGCTCCCTCGTCTCTCACAGGCTCGATATCTTTATCTCATGCCACGTCGTGTGAGACACTGTTGGGTAACGGTTTCCGGGTTGCAAAAATAAATGATCTCTTCGTACCGGATAGGCCTCGGCGTGTTCCCACGTCGGCACGCTGACGTCGTCGATGACTTTACCACTGCGGTTTCCTCTCTGAAATCTGCGTGCCGGTACAGCCCGTGAGACAACTTCGGTCGTTTTGAAAGTCGTGGCATGAGTTATCGTGATCCCGACCGTTGTGTAGGATGCACTCGGGGGGGACGAAAAGTCACCGTCCGTGATTGCTACTCGAATTCTCGAAACACGACACGTGTTTACCGGCCGATCGTCCAACTCGGAACCGATCCTTCCTGGCCATATCTGGCGACACGAATTCTGTCGGTCGTCCGTCAAATGGTAACCTATATCCAGCCGATCCGGTTTGTGCCTCTCAAATCTCTTCGGAGCTGACGTTTGCCCGCCTTCCCTTGTCCTCTCTCCTCGAAGCCCTCATCCATGGCCTCTTCCAACCAAGGTCTGTTCCTCTGCTTCTTCCACGGCTCTTGCTGTTGTTCTCCGATTTGTTGATCCGTGTGTACTTTGTTCTGGTATCTTTCTGGTTTCGTATGATCTGGTTGTGGTATAGTCAATTTAGATGTTGTCTATCGGATTTAGGCGTGGAGGGAAAATGGATTTGATCAAACCCTAGAAAAAGAAGATGCCTTGATCTTTGTCCTGATTGAACTCTTTATATTAGGGCGTTGAAGTAACGATCGAAGAAAGATCAGATATAAATAATTTAATTCTTCTTATTATTGATTGCTTCTGAGTATTGGTACAAGCTTTAGCTAGATCCGATTGACGTTTGTTTGAGTCCTAAAGATGTGGCTTGAAATTCGTTGACATGATCAGATGACAAAGGGGATCAATCGAATTTCGGGTCATTGGTATTTATCTATTGGGCTATTGAAATCTATATCAAGTACCAAATGCAAAGCTTCTGGCTTTCGCTGACTTCCTATTGTCAAAGTCAAATTGATATGTACTCAGCATAGTTTGTTCTATGATGTGTGAGACTTTAAGGCCAATAAAACATTAAATCTCATGCCTTTATTGGATGCAGTTGGTACTTGTTTGATGCTCTCCCTCGATTGGGAGAGACAGAAACATGGGTACTCTTTCATGTGAGATGCGAGGCTTATCAGGCCTTAGTGTTTCGTGAATACCAGAGTAAACCTTGATACTGTATTTTCTTTCTCCACTTTTTAATATTTCCTTGGTGAGAACATCTAATGCTCTACTAATAAACACTGTTAGCTGGGATATACAGATAATAAAGTGGTGGCAGACTCCCGAGTAGTCCACCACAAGTGGTGTGTTTAATCGTTAGGTAAACAGCATAAGTGATTTAGTTGTTTGCAACTGGCTGCTTCTTATCGTTTTATGAAAAGCTGGCTGAATTAGCTGGCCTTTCTGGATTATATATGCTTCGTATCCAAATTTAGAGCTGGTTTAGATGAGGTTGTGTGTTTTTTTTTCTCCCTTCTAGTTAGACCACTTGTCCAGTCCAGTTGCGAAAAACACGGTTTACTATTCAGCATGACCCTTGTTTGTTTTATTCCTGATATGCAAACAAGAATAGCATTCTATTTAATTGTCTTTTGAAATAAACTCACGTTGCTTGACAATAGTGATGCCTGTTTGCCATAACTTATTGTAAAACCTTATTTGGAAAAGTCATTTTTGCATGTTTTGGTTCATTTGTGTCATTTTTTTGTTAGTTGAGTCTGTGATGTGATGCTCTATTTGGTAACATGTTATGATTTTGCGACCACATTATTGAATGAATTTTCTATATAGCCATCAATATCAGTGAAGTAACTGTTGTTATTTTACATCATGTCAGATGATCATCACATGGCTAGCATGGGTTCACATTCTGGACTGCCACCACTAAATATCTCAGTTGCGTTTCCTCAAGCAACACCAGCATCAGTCTTTCCCCCTTCGTGTAAGCTAATGTTTTATTACAGCAAATACTTTCTAGAAGCATTCTTTTTCCTTGTTCAGTTGACAACTGTAAATCGCATGTTAATCATGACTTATTTTCTAGATATCAGCTAAAATCCTTGATTAGCTTGTGAACTTAAAAATGATACTTAAAGATTTTAGTGGATTTCTGCACAAGCTGAATAGGAGTTACATTATCACCTCTTTCTTAGGGATTCTGAAGAAGTGTGAAGCACAATTGTGAAAGCCTTTTTATTTGGGAATGGTGCCATTCACTTGGCATCTACTCCGCTCATTGTGTCTATTGTTTTAGCTTTTAATTAATCAATGAAGACCTGTGGGCCAAAAAGCCTCAATCTTGTGTTAATATTTTGTTATGAGCCTATGCTCTTTCCTTTTTTTCTTTATCAATTTCTCTGCCATTATATTCTTAAATTTGGTGTTCCAAATTTTTTAAGCAGTAGATTGTTATTACAATTTGTGCTTAAATTTCCAATTTGTGTACAGATTGACAATTTTGACTTTTCTCCCTTGCAGCATCCGACTACTATCAATTCGATGATTTATTGAATCCTGAAGAGCAGGCTTTGCGGAAAAGAGTTCGAGTTGTCATGGAAAAAGAAGTAGCTCCTATAATGGCAGTGGTAACTTTCTGTAATTTGTGTCACTCCTTTTAAGTGCTGCAATCAGATAACTGTAATTGTTGTTTTTCATCTATATGTTAAGACTCTAGACCATCGTAAGGATATGTTTGGAGACCTGATTACCAGTTCACAATGTTCTGATTAATAAATGTCTTTGTTGTTGCCTGATCATGTAGATCTCTAGATATGACAATGGACTTTTAGCACAATCTCAGAATACATTTGTTAATTTATACATGGTTAGTGCTTTAGGAGCCACAGGAAAAAAACTCTAATAGGAAAGTTAATAATTTAGGACAACAACATGATATTTGTGCGTTGTATTAACATACTCTTTTGGTTCAGCATAGAACATGAATGTACAATTTGTGGTCTCAAATTATAGATTTGACTTGCATCTTTGCTACCTGAGCTCCTGGATTCTTATGTGTGTCATGATCACGTGGGGTATCATCATCATTCTTCTTGACATGCCCATGGAAGCTTTCATTAGGTAGCACGTAAAATATTGAGCACCTTGATTATGTTTGTTATGCAACTATTCCTTGGTGACATTCATTTTTTTCTGTGGAATATATTAATCCATTACAGAATTGGTGATTCCTTGATGTTCTTTTTTTCTATGGAATTTATTAATCCATTATAGAACTGGTGATACCATATAATGGTGCAATTTTGGTATTTGTAGTATTGGGAGAAGGCAGAATTTCCTTTTCATGTTATTCCAAAGCTTGCTACACTAAGTATTGCTGGAGGGACTATAAAGGTACCAAGTAGTGAATACATGTGTCAATGCTTATCAGTGTTTATGTGCATGATGACAACTCAAACAATGCTCCCACAGGGTTATGGGTGTCCAGGGCTATCTATTACTGCTAGTGCTATCGCCACCGCAGAAGTTGCAAGAGTGGATGCTAGCTGCTCTACTTTTATTTTAGTTCATTCTTCCTTGGCAATGCTTACCATTGGTAATGTGACAGTTTCAACTTCATTTACAAGCATATTTCTTCTGGCCAAATTATTTCGTTAAAGTTGTTGCTATTTTCCGAGGGACAGCACTCTGTGGATCAGAGGCACAAAAAGTGAAATACTTGTCATCATTGGCCAAATTTGATACTGTTGCTTGCTGGGTAAGCCCAACTGACAGTTTGTTATTATGACTTGAATTCAGCAAGTGATCTATTAATTAACTTCTATGGCTTAGGCATTAACTGAACCAGATTATGGAAGTGATGCCAGTTCATTGAGAACCACAGCTACGAAGGTTTGGTACCCCTTGTTTAAAATCAAACCATGCTGCATAGATTCTTTTGTGCTTGGCTGCTTGCAACATACCCTATTTCTTAGACATCAAAATTCAAACCATTTAATGTTTAATGTGTCAATATTTGTGGTTCGATAGGTTTCAGGAGGTTGGGTTCTGGATGGTCAAAAGCGATGGATAGGAAACAGTACGTTTGCTGATGTGTTGATTGTTTTTGCGAGGAACACTAGCACAAACCAAATAAATGGGTAAATTTGTATCTTTTCCTTGTACATCTAATTTATTCTGCATTGTAATTTGCACTCAGGAGCTATCATGGTGTCTAAAGGATCTCTTTCATTTGTTCCTATAGGCAAACAGTTCTTGAGGGTTGAGCTTCATTTTGCTGATATTTATAACATGAAGCAGAGTTTGAACTCAGAACCTTTTCAATAATTGGATGATATGGCTTTCTGTTATGTATTGCAGATTTATTGTGAAGAAAGGTACTCCTGGATTGAGGGTCACAAAGATTGAAAACAAGATTGGCCTAAGGATTGTTCAAAATGGTGATATTATTTTGAACAAAGTTTTTGTTCCTGATGAAGACAGGTTGCCAGGTGTCAATTCATTTCAAGATACTAGCAAGGTACTGTATTAAATAACTAATGTCCCGTGTTAATCGTCATGATAATCTTTTGTTTTGCTGGTTCTCTTGCAATATTGACACAAGTCTGATATATGAGTCATTTGCATCTGAGATATGTATGGGCCTGCTTGTACCTTGATTCCTCACAATGGCCTTATTAGGAACTGGTACTCCTGAGCTCATGTGCTTCCTGTACCATGGATAACCTCTCTATTTGATGAACTCGTTTGGTAGTGGTACATATGAGCAACTGCATCAAGAGAACCATTTATAAGTGAAAATTGTTTCTTTTCAATCTTAAATTAATTAAAACCAGGATATGAATATAATGAAAATCAGAGTTAGAATATACTATAGAAAGATATTAATCATATCCAACAATTGTTGTCAATGGAGTAGAAGATGTTGTGTAGTCGTAGCTAGCAGCAATACAAGACGGGATAAGGTAGGCCAAAATCTATACTTAATCGCACCAAATAACAATGATTAGGAGGTCCAAAGATAACTCAGATTTCTTTCTGCATTAGGCAAATCATGGAGTTAGAGTGGAGAATACACAAGATTACCACCAAGAACTGACATCATGGTTTAATTTGTATAATTAGTTGGTTTGTATATGAGAGCATCAGTGGGATCATAGACTGGTGATTGTTCATGTCAAAGGAAATAGATCACTATAATGGAATTGCATATTAATATCATCTCGGTCTTGTAATGCTGTCATCTTCCTTGAAAAGGTTGCTTCTTGCAGCTTTTCTTTATGTTGTACCTGCAGATGCATAACATTGCTCCTTTATGTGATTGTTTTTCCTCGGTTTTTCTTTTAATTATTGTTTGTTGTCTCGAAGCAGGTTCTTGCTGTTTCGCGTGTTATGGTTGCATGGCAACCAATTGGCATATCAATGGGGGTATTTGACATGTGTAACCGGTATGATTTCGATATGATCCCTGCAGAACTGTATAAACAAATGAACGTAATGTTCTAAGGATTCAAGTTAAAACAGGTACTTGAAAGAGAGAAAGCAGTTTGGAGCCCCATTGGCAGCATTTCAGATTAACCAAGAAAAGCTTGTCCGTATGCTTGGTAACATTCAAGCCATGCTTCTTGTTGGATGGCGCTTATGCAAGTTGTATGAATCTGGGAAGATGACCGCAGGACATGCTAGTTTGGGAAAGGTAAATACAGCATGTATATGGAACAATTATTTTCTGTTAGTTGTTTGACTCTGAAATATCTGAGTACCTTCAATTGGGCTTGTGCATGCTTATTTTGTAGGCATGGACCTCTTTAAAGGCAAGGGAGACTGTTTCCCTTGGCCGAGAATTACTTGGCGGCAACGGTATCTTGGCTGATTTTCTAGTGGCAAAGGTGCAGCGAGTTACTTTTGTCTTTTCTTTTTTTACTTCAGATTTTCCTACCTGATTTCGTCCGACTCTGAAAGCTCATGATGAAACTAGGCAAAACACCAAAAGAAAAAAAAAGCAACTTATATATTCCAGAGATATTTTGCATCTTTAATATTGATGAATATATATAGCCATATTATGTGCTTGCAGATGACAGTGTTTCCACTTCCTATGATTTCTCATATAAATATTTAGACTCTGGCTGCAGAGAATCCATAATCATCATCTCCTGTTTTGACTTGGAAGTGATTCTTCTTGTCAATCTTCAAGTGCTCGTATTATATATAAAATTTCTCTTGAAAAATAAAAAGGATATCATGGTTTTGTTTCATTGCAGATTGTCTCTACAAAATCTTGACATGTTTTTTGTTGATCAATTCAGGCATTCTGTGATTTGGAGCCAATTTTCACGTACGAAGGAACCTATGATATAAACAGCATGGTGACCGCAAGAGAAATCACCGGGATTGCAAGCTTTAAACCTGCTGTTTTGGGCCGGTCAAGCCGCCTCTGATCTCAACAATCGGACACAGCAGTCACAAACTCGCACGCCGGAAGACCGAAAAAAAAAAACCGAAAGCAGCTCCAGCAAACAAATGGAGCCAACATGATGGGAGTATGAATAGGGCTTCTTTCTGTAGAGTCTTTTATTGTGGGACTCCCTCTCTCAAACTTTTTTGTGTTATTGATGACTCGATAAGATTGTGTAATGGGCGGAACGTGTTGGTTTGGAATGGTGTTGTGGCCACTCTGTGCCTTGTCGTGGATTAGCGGTTGGTGGTCAGGGGGGATGAACTCGAGGTTGGTTGTGTCGGCGGTCGATCTCACACTCGGGAGATTGAAGTGCAGTCGTCGGATGTAATGGACTCGTCCCACATTATTGAACATCCAAACTTGATGGATATGAGCCGCGTGGTTCAACTCGGTAAAGAGACTTTCTTCTGGTCTAATCTTCTTACTGGACAATCAATCTCCTTTTTGGTCCAAAGAAGCCAGGAAGAGTGTTTGGAGACGTTCGAGAGGGGTACTGATGATCCGACCGCAAATGACTCTATATGTCACTTTGGACATCCTCTCATCCTTTGATTTATTATATTTCGTTAATAGCCGACGATAAAGATGAACTATTATGATCAATTTTTAGGAAATCCTTGATATTTTTTCTTAATCTACTTTAGTGGTGAGTATAAGAAAGAGGGACGACGAGCAAAAACACCCACCTCTAAGAGAGGATCGATCGTCCTGACTTCGACACCCGACCCCACCAAGGGTTGGGCCTTTCCGAGGAGGATCTTTCTTTGGATGCCCGACATGACCTCCTCGAAAAAGTATTGAGCACCTAATGCATGTATACGAGTAAGGTAAAAATATTGCAAGGTTCAATACAATGCGTCAATCATAAATGCTAAACTATTTTTATAGTATAAATGAAGGTTGAACGTATCGTATCGTATCGGGATTTCGATCCGGGCTCGATATGGTACGGTACCGATGCATAAGTCGGTACATCAAGGTGTACCGCTGATGTACCGAGCGGTACACCCTGATGTACCGAATAATTTAATTTTTTTATACTGTAGCAGTACTATAATATAATACCATAGCACTGTAGCGATACCGGGCGGTTCACGTACCGATAATCTGTCGGACCGGTACGTACCACCCAATACGAGTGATACGCTTCGGTATGATAGACCTTGGTATAAACTACGTATAGAGATGATAGATGACAACGAATTAGATTTTTTGATAGTAATCAACGATCAAGTGTGATATTGATTGATTGGATTTGAATATGAAAGATTAATCATTCAAGCCGCGGATATGAATACTTACTTGAACAGTTAATCGAGTTGGGGAAATAAATACTCAAAAAAGATAAAATGTAGGAATCAAGACTCGGAACATCAAATCATCCACGATCCAATTTTGACCGACGTAAAGATCAGAAATATCGAGGAAGGAGAAGGGGAAGGGGAAAAGTTCATCATCAATCACTGGACCGACCAAGCTACATAGGTGGAGATGGTCGACGCCGACGTTGGAAGCTCGTGGGCCGCCCCGCGACCCGCGTGGATCGTGTGACGCGCGTGTGTAACGGAGACGAGCCGTCCACTTTCAATGGTCCACGCCATTTCCCACGTGCCGACGCAGTCAACCCCCGTGTATCTGATCGCCTGCTCCCGGTCCAGGCAGGCAACACGAGTACTGCCCACAGACGGTGGCTCGATCGCGGCGGTTTGACACGAATTCCTGTCCCTGTGCTGTTTTGAGACCGGAAAGTTCGTCCCGACACCGTCACCACTCACCGCGCTCTGCGACCTAATCTTCCATATTTATGCTACTCGAATCCGAACCAAACAAGACGGGAAGAAGCCAAGTAGCACGACACAGAGGAGAGAGATCTCTTCTCGTCGATCTGCCATTCAAAATTTCCTTCGAAACACGGCACGGGGACTCTCGTCAGAAGCGGAGCGCGTAAAGGAGCGATCTTGGGATGGCGAGTTGGGTCCTCTCTTCCGAACGCTTCGTCTTCAGGCCCCTCCCCGCCGTCTTCTCTCGCCCCGAATCCGGTCTCCGATCTCCCGCCAGTCTCAAGCCTTTGAGGAGCGGCTGCAACCGCGGTGGAGGACTCGATCTCTGCCGCCCCGTCGGGCTCGGCGGCCGGAGGGAATGGCGGCTCGGTGTCAGCGCGCCGGCGAGGATGGCGCCCTTCGCGGACGAGATGAAGGACGGGGAGGGGAAGGGAGAGAGGGTGGCGAGCGGGTGTGACGGGGAGGAGGAGGTTTTTGATCCTGCGATGCCGCCGCCGTTCGGACTGGCGGAGATCCGGGCCGCCATTCCGAAGCACTGCTGGCAGAAGGACCCATGGAGGTCGATGAGCTACGTGGTCCGGGACGTCGTCGCTGTGTTTGGGCTCGCCGCGGCTGCTGCGTTCCTCGATAACTGGATCGCGTGGCCTCTCTATTGGGTTGCGCAGGGGACCATGTTCTGGGCTCTCTTCGTTCTCGGCCATGACTGGTATTCTCGTCTATTCAAAATCGTCTTTTTCTGCCACTTTTCCTTTGTCTTTTAGCTCGTCTTTCTTATCAAAGCTTGGATTTTTGGCAGTGGACATGGGAGCTTTTCGAACAATTCGAAGCTGAACAGTGTTGTTGGCCATTTACTCCATTCCTCCATTCTTGTGCCATACCATGGATGGCAAGTTCTTCATTTCCAACCTCAGCTTTTACATGCTGCTTGCATCTCTCTTTCTCCAGTATTCTTATGATGTGTCAGGAGCTGAGGCAATTCTCTTGTGCTCTGCAGGAGGATTAGTCACAGGACACACCACCAGAACCATGGACACGCCGAGAATGACGAATCATGGCACCCGGTTCGTAGTTCACTCCTATTCCTAGGAAGTGTTTGAGGCTTCAATACTAAATTTTGAATAATGGATTTGATTGAGCTTGGTTTAACTGCAGTTGTCTGAAAAGTTATATAAGAGTTTGGATTCTCTAACTCAGAAGCTTCGGTTCACGATGCCATATCCTCTGTTTGCTTTCCCCTTGTATCTGGTGAGCAACTGAACTATTGGTCTCAAAGAACTAGTGGCTAGTTAGGAACATAAGTTAGATAAATCTTGATGAGCATTGTGTGACAGTGGGCAAGGAGTCCAGGAAAGACTGGTACACACTTCCATCCAAGCAGTGATCTGTTCCTTCCCAATGAAAAGAAGGATGTGATTACATCGACAGCTTGCTGGATTACTATGGTGGGGGTGCTTGCAGGATTGGCTTGCCTAATGGGTCCTCTTCAGGTGCTCAAGCTTTATGGAATTCCATATTTGGTGAGTTCTTGACCTCTTGTGCCTTTCTCCGGCTCGTTTAACTGTTTCTAGAGTAGTATTTGTTTTTGGTGATGGGATCAGCAGATGGTTCTTGTTCCAAATGCAGATTTTTGTTATGTGGTTGGATCTTGTCACATACTTGCATCACCATGGACACAACGAGAAGCTTCCCTGGTATCGTGGAAAGGTATAATTTGGTTTGACTCTTCGTGACTCATGTGCATTTATCATCTCAATATGTTCAGGGATATTAAGACAATCCATGGATAGGAAGCTAATCTGTAGTGGTAACTATTGTTTCAGCTTTCATAATTTTCTATAAATGAGATTTAACAAACTTTTCCGCTGAAATAGAAAAAAAGGAAAAAATTATGTTCTTCATTGGATGTAAATGTTGAGTTACTTCCAAAGGCTGTGTTGAGCACTATATATGATCACTGATCTGCAAAGTATTAGTTCTGGTGCTTCACCAAAATAAAGGGCCAGATTGATTCAGAGTATACACATGTATCTACAAATATTAGAGTGCCCTAGAAATTGTTCATGTGCATTTGGGCATGCTTCACTGAAGAATGAGACATGGAGTGAGCCAATCATATTTTATCTTATATCTTCTAGGAATGGAGTTATCTTCGAGGAGGCTTGACGACAGTAGATAGAGACTACGGATGGATTAACGACATCCACCATGATATTGGTACTCATGTGATACATCACCTCTTCCCGCAGATACCACATTACCATCTAGTGGAAGCCGTAAGTAGTACTTTGTTGATCTTATTCTTATTTTTGAAGTAGATTTTGCTTCTAAGAGAAGTTTAATCTTGCCCTTTTGAATCAGACCGAGGCAGCAAAACCAGTGCTTGGAAAATACTACAGGGAACCAGTCAAGTCTGGACCTCTGCCGCTTCATATATTTGGAATTTTAGCAAAAAGTCTCGCACGCAATCATTACGTTTCTGATACCGGAGATGTCGTGTACTATCAGTCCGATGATAGATTGAGTGATGCTCCGAAAACCAAATCACATTGAAACATCAACATGCAATAAGGATATCAGGGGACTGACTGCTACTTGGCAGCTGATACAGCCCGAACGTTTCACCAGAGACAGAATTTTGTGCATGGCTTCCTCCCTTCACCACAATCAATTCTTTCTACTCTAGATTCATGCAAGAGATGCATCTTATCTTGGAAGGAGCTAGTAATAAAATTTGTCCTGGTTAGTAGTGGATAGTATATATATGTGTACACAAATTTGTATATGTTATGCTGCAAGAAATCACAAGCATAACTTTTTTTTAGTTTTAAAATAAAAATTGTTAATGTTACTAGAAAATTACAAGCAGTATCGGTGCACTACTCATCATACTATGAGACTGACGATAAATTTAGAGATTGATAGCATTCTTTGTCGATTGAATTTTGCTCTCAAATGTTTTCCTTGGAAATGAGGAACTCTACTCCAATCGTTAAACATCAGAATCAATCTTGATTAGTGGAGCTGATGGCCCACATTTTGTGATGTCAATGTCACTCATCTTTCATGTGGTACAGATGATGGATTTCATCTTTACTAAAAGATAAAGTGCATGGCCCTTTTGCAAAGGCCTTCATGGTTCTATCCTTTGCCAGAAAGGTCACTATTGAGTGGTAGCAGTTGGTCCACTTTAATTAACTTACTAATGTGGTTGTAGATTCATGTATCCTTGAATCGTACGAAGATAATTTACATGATTTTTTGATTCATGATTGGTGATATTTTACATGATTTTTCAAAGATTTTTGCATTCAATTCTATTATGTCATTCATGCTAAAGTTGCTGATAAGCTGGAATCTTGTGTTGATGGCAGAACTGAGGAAGAAGACTTTGACATTGTATTCTTGTAAGGATTGTCGATGCTGTTTGTATTTATTTTTATATTTTCTAGCTATTAGTATTTATTTATTTATTTATTTTTTGTGTGTGTTCCAAGAAGCTGAAGAATGAGAAAAATAAATTGCTGAGTCAGAATCCTCTTTTTCATTGTTTGATTTGTAGATTGTGAGTTGAAATTTTTTTCTGAACATCTGCCCTTGTGTTTTCTGTCTTCATATTCTTTTCTTTTAGTTTTCGTTTTATTTCCTGGGGATCAAACATATGATGCTCATGATTAGTTTGATCCTCTCAGAGAAAAAAAAAATGGCTGGAGAATTATGATACAGAGCATGTCTGAGTTGCTGCCTACAGTTGCCTTCTTCTTTTTCTTCTTCTTCTTGTGTCAGGTCTAAACTCTAAAGCTCCAAGCAAATCTCCATAGAATTTTGTGCAAGAACATGCTTTGTTATCTAAAGCTTGTGTGGTTCGGAATCAGCAAGTGAAAGAGGCAATTTTAATCATCTCTCTTCCATGCAAACATCAAGTTAGGCAGCTTTGTTCACAACAAGAGGTAAATCCTTTTGCCTGTAAACTGCAAATCTCTCTCTCTCTCTCAACGATGCACATCAAAGTCAATCAAGCCTCTAAAAGTTGCTTCGTGCCCCAACTCAAATCAAGAAATTGGAATTCAAAATCGTGAGTGAGACTTGAAGCATATCTTGTCTTTCCGTACTATCCAGCTGCAATCCAAAGAACTTAGGCCACCATAGAGTCAAAATCACCCACCATTAAAGTCATAGAGGCTTTCCACCACTTCTAGTTCAAGAAGTAAACTCATTTCTATTGTTAGATAACATCTCTTCTCCAAAGTCAACAATGTTCCTGTCGCATTCCTGTCCAGAATTCTTTGCCTCTCCTAGTCACTTTGAGATGGTGATTGAAAGAAAGAGATATATGGGTCACTGTTGTGTTGCCATCCTACTCTCTCCTCGATCAGGAGAAGTCGGCCTACGACTTTGTGGTACATAATTGCAGGGATAACCATAGAGAGAAGATGAACAATAGGAGAGTCATGAAGCAAAGGTGAGAACACAGAGGAGGATAACAGAAAGTATGACTGGAAGTACAAATTCAAAAGAAGAGTACTGATGCTGATTGCTACAAGTGTTTGCATCTTCTCAAAGAGAAGTAGAACCAAAGTGAGCTTCCACTGTTCTCAGTTGCTAGACAAATTGCTGAAGAACTCTGGTAGAGATAATTGTAGCTATTTTTGTTTTGGGCAAAATTTTCAGCTTTTATTGAGATGGTCAACATTACATATCAAAGTTTTCACCTTAATACAATCTCTATGATCCAAGTCAGTCCAATAATGCAATCTGATTCCTGACCAGCAACCCTTACCCATTTTTGGCCATCCTCATCCTATCTCCCATTCAATTTAGATCCATACACCAACCTAACCCAAGTTAAACTTCCTGAAAACTACATTTAGATTCAGCTCGCAGTCAGGTCAGTCTTAACTGTGGGCATGGTCTATGCTGAATTGGACTTAATCTCACTTCTAGTTCAACCCAGCATTCCTGAGTTACAACCCTCATCTGTAACATTTTTTGGAGCTGTTCTTTTGTATGGATTCATGAGAATTAACACTTAGAAAGGGGTATATGTTCAGGTAAGAAAATAGTGGACATGGGAATTGCTGAATGCTTCAGTCTGTGTGGTCGAACAACCCAACTTATTGTTCTTGTTTTCTGTTTTGAAGATGTATTCCTCAATTGTCTTCCATAGATGAGTTTAATGATGCTTTCATACACAATGTGCAGCATGTGATCTGACACCTGAAGCATGCATTGTTTAAGGTTCCTCAAAAGAAGTACTTGAAGATTGCAAAGAACAGGTTCTGTCCTTTGGGATCCACAATCCTGAATAAAATCATTGAATGGCTTATGCGGCTGAACAAAACTCCAGCCTTTTTTTCTAGTCTGTGGGCACTTTGAAATCCAGCCAGAATATGCAATCTTGAATTCAGTATCCTGCACTGCATCATAATTGTCAGCCAAATCATCCTCAAAAGTGTCAAAAGGCCAATTGGGTTCCTTCTGTTGCTGCAGAATGACTCTGGCTCTTGAATCTTTCAGATTAATTTGTGGAAAGGAGGAGGACTTCAATCCTTCAAATACCTCATCATGCTGCCTGAGGATTCAAGCTTCTACTGTGCTGAGTACATTAAGCCTGCAAAGTGACAAAGTTCATTAAAGAGTACCATGTTTGGAGCACTAGAAATTAGGCAAATGGGTTGCAATGTTTTCAATGAAGCAAGCCAAACTCCTCTGAATCTAACAATGATCAAGATGGTCAAATCAAAACATTTTTTCTTCTTCTGTTTTGTTCTAAAATAGTTGAAATGTTGCGCAGATCAATTCATTAAAGGGGGAAAAAAGCAGAGCCCATTTGTTGTGAGCTCTAAAATAAATGGCTAGTAAACTTTCTACACATAAAAGTATAATATTATATTTAGTTCTCAAAATCTATCATAATGAATGAGGTTGAGATCATTATGAATGATTCCCAAAACATCTTTTACCATGCTTTGGTTTTCTGGGTCAAAACTGTTCACCAGTGTACAGACACATTTGGTCAATGTGCTAATCCTGAGATGTGCTGGTGGCTTCTGTTGAGCAGGTGACAGTATAATGACCTCAACACAGAAGGCATGATTGTCTAAACTCTAATTGTTGACCATGAGCCTTCCCTTGCTCTTGAAATCATTGTTTCCATTAACTACATTGACAGAGATGATGAAACCATTGAAATCAACACTTCAAGGCAAGTTTAGGCAGTCCATATAGCCACCAAATCATGTTCTTTGTGTTAATTCTTGTAGCTCCAGTTCTACACATTCCATCTCTGAACTCCTTTACCAAATCAATGTCAATGAGACAGTGGGAAACCTAAAGGTCCTTCCATGAATCTAGAAAACACCATTACAGAACAGCAGGGACTTGTTACATCATTCTTTCCATAATGAATCAGTCAAATAGAACGTAAGCTTAAATCTACAGTATATATTCCTTTAATGTAGAATAAATCCAATTGAACTATTCTAAATCAATGTGTAGTCACTGCTTAATACTTTTCAATGTTGACTTTGACCTAGGCTCTGTGAATTGACCTAAACTTGGTTGATGAAAGTTCAGTTCTGATTACTATTCTACAGAGAAATTATTTTGGTGTTTTTCTCTCTTGCTTGTACCCTCCACAACCAAACAATTGCATACAATATGAAACTAAGTTATTTGATCAGTTTGATCTTTCATTGAAGTCTCTGTTTTGCAGAGTCATCCCCTATTGAAACTTCAACTGAATATTACTGATGTATAATTACATGAAGGAACTCTTTTATCAAGCCAAATTGCTGAAATCCTCATGAAATAGCATAATAATTTTCTCTTAACTCTTTTGCTTAACATCAAGTACATTGGAATTCAGAACATGAGATGCACCAATATGAAAAAAATTTCCCTTTTCTCAGGAAAAAAAAAGCTTTTGAAACATAAATATTTCCTCAAGAATTTTTTAGCATGCATGCTGCCACAACATAGAAAAAAATCAAACAACCCGTTCTTCGCTAATGACAAAAGATTCCAGAATTCTAACAGACTCAGCTTTGTTCTTCTGCCTAAGTAATATTTATATTTTTCTCTGTCATTCTAGAATGCCCTTTTGATCCATTTTTTTCATGTGCTTTACCTACATAAGTTTACTACAGGAGCTATAAATCTCCTCAGCTTCAGCTTGCAAAGCTAGATTATATGTCAAAGCCATTTATGCCCCCCAACACAATTTTATCTCGTGATTGACTATTTTTTTATTATTATCTTTATTCATTTAATCTTTCTCAATCTCTTTCTCATGTCACTAATTATAGTTGTTGACATTTTTGTCAATTTGTTTTCATCCGAAACGACCTTTAATCGTTTATGAAAGCAAATATTTCTTATATACTATCGTCTCTATCTATCTATTGAAGAGAAGATTATAGGTCAAAGTTTACATCTATCACTGTCTCAAAGAAAAGAACAATGAGAACACAACATCGAACACAAGTCAGCAGAAACTCGATGGTGGTAGAACATAATTTTCCTTGCGAAGATGGTGGATAGACAACCAAAGAAGCGAGAGCATAAAGATCATCCACACTAGCCTCTCTATTATCCAAATAACTAAGGAAGTCTTTTGGACCTAATCAAATGGCATGCCTATATTATCCATCTAAAGATCCTTAATATGAGGAATGCCTCTAACTGCATCTCTTGGTAGCTTAATTTTGTAGATCTGCTAAAGCTCAGATACTTCATTGAGCTCCCCTATTAGCTTGACATTTTCTTTTGGGTGCATGATATGTAACTACAAATATTAAGACAACTATGGAAAAGAGGAAAGATAATGTAATGCATAAAAGAACTTGTATAGCTCTTTGACACCATAAGCAACTCCATGAGAAATGCAAGATATCCTGTGTTGGGGAAGTGAGTGATGTGGTAGGCTTAGAGGTATCACTTTTCTCCTCCTTTCTTTTCTTCTCATCCTCTTCTAAGCTTTGGCATGGCATTAGCATAAACAAGCAATGAGAGAAAAAGGGTGGAGTTATATTGGTGATGAAGCAAGTGAGAGTCTGAAAAGTAAATGGCAAAGTGGAAGAAGCCAGAAGAAGCATTTGCATGCTTCTGTTACTTTAGCAGGTGCTACTGATACTAATCCTTGGTGGTAAGCAAAGCATCTACAAAAGCTACTCAAGCCTTTGGCTGCTTTATATTTCTGTGCAATCTCCAGCCTTTGGATGCTCGAAGAAGGAGAAAGATCAGAGAACTTACCTTTGGTTTCTCAGTTCATCCATCTTCCACTCTGCCACACAGAGAGAAGCCCTACATTACCAGGTAACATCTGTCACTGCTGCTGCAACGCTAGAGATACTTCTGGGCCAGCTTATCGAGAAGCGCCATGACGAGGGAGTGCCGCCTCTCCGCGCGGGCCTCCTCCCTGGCTCGCCGCTCCTCCTCCCGCTCCCTCCACCGCTTCTCCATCTCCATCCTCTCCTCCTGCAAGCTGTCCATCACCCTCCGCCACTCCTCCTCCCTAGCTCGCCTCTCCGCCTCCCTCGCCTCGGCTGCATCAACCCACCGAGCCTCCATCTCCAACTGCCGCCGCATGAACTCCCTCAGGGCATCCTTCACCTCCTCCTCGTGGTTCTTCTTCCTAGTCACCTTCCTCCTCTTCTTACTTTCCTCCGCCTTCCCCTCCTCCTCCTCCTCCTCTTCCTCCTCCTCCGCTTCCTCCTCCCACTCCTTGACTCGGACTTGCACCCCCTTCCCCTTGTCCTTCTCGAACACAAGCAGCCTCTCCATCCTGTCCGCGAATATCCTCCTCATCTCCTCATAGAAAGGGAACTGCTTACCGATCTCTCCCTCCGCCGACTCAATTCCCTGAATCAAATCAACACTAACCATATAAATATGGTACGAGAGAAAGAGAGAGAGAGAGAGAGAGAGAGAGAGAGAGGACCTTGAAGCGGGTGACGAGGTTCTTCCACTTGGACTTGCACTGGTCGGGGGTCCGAAAGAAGCCCTTCTGCTGGAGCATGGAGGAGGTGGCTTCCCACAGGGGCTTGTTGCGCTTGGTCTCCGTGAAGCTCCGGTCGAGCTGGGCACGGATGGCCAATAACTCCCTGGTCTCGTCGTGGGTCCACTGGGGGAACCGCTCGACGCTCTCTGGCGGAGGGTTTACTTGGGCGTAAGGGTTAAGGCGCTGACGGTGGAGATCCATGGAGTGAAGAGCGAGGCAAAAGAGACAGATCGAGAAGAAGGAAGGGAGGAAAGAATGTGTGAACTGCCAACTCCTGAGAGTCAACAGTTTCAACGCATCGATCTTGAAAGAGAAGGGAAGAGGGAGAAGATCTTGTGGGCGATGGCGAGGGGAGGGGTGTGTGCGGGGTCGCGTCTATCTGTCAACGCGGAAATGAATCAGCTTTCCCATTGCTTTTGTTCCAACAGGGGGACGACGAAGCCATGCATGCGTTAGGGTGGCATCACGCTTACGAACGAGGGAGGAATCCAAGTGAGAGCTTCCATGACTTGCGTCCTAAGCTACTCCTCATATATTTTCTGCCTTATAATATTCTTCTTTCATATACACTATTATTCTTTATTTCTTTCATATACATTTCCTACGGTATCAACCTTATTTTCATTTCTTATATTTTCAAAAAAACAAATTTATGAATCTTAGTTCTAACATCGTATTGACGATTCAGATCAGATGATGAACTCTGATGATTCCCCACTGATCACTGTCACAGTTAGGAGTGTCTTGTTGTCTCGATGTGTGCTGTTCTGTGTTGGCCAGCACTGTTCTCATACAGTATCATTCTGTACCATACATAACCTGTGACCCTGCAACTTGGACATATGGGGGACATGAATATTCTATGTTTTATAGTCACGTAGACATGGAACGCGTTAATAATGCATTTGGACTATATGTCATGAGTCCCAATCTTGCATTAATCCAACCACAAGGTTTTGACAAAGGATGATGGGTTAAGAACAATAGCAATAATTATAGACAAAACCCAACAAGGGAAGAAAAGAGAGATAGAGAGAAGCTAGTTACTTAATATGCTCCACCACCACAATCATGCAGGACGAGTACGTCCTCGTCCATCACTTGCGGTACTAATTGATTATTATTATTATTATTCGAGGGGCCGAGCGAGATCAGGAGATGATGATCCGTGTGATCAATCATTCGATTTAGCTTGTCCTCTCTGTATGATATTATTATTATTATTCCTTGCGTGCAGCCTTAAATCACAGAAGATGCTTATTTTGGTGTTTTCGCTTTGTTCCTCTGGTTAGTAATTGTAACGAAGGTTTCAAAATAATTTTTATTCTAACCATTCGATTCGATTCGATTCGATTCGATGTGACTAAAGATTCAGAACCAATCCAAGTCCCATCTTTAAATCCGTCCATACAACACACCATATCGAATTTGAAGACGTCATTAAGTGTGCCACAAAGCTTGTTGCTGTGTTCATCATCACCACCTTCACCTTTTCTGTCATGCTTTTGTTTCTCATCTGCTAATTACAAGTATACATCCATTAGTATCAAATTATTACACGTACACAAATGTAGTCCTCTTTTTTAAGTCTTCTTTACAATAATTAAACAAAAATCCATCATCTGTTGAATCATCGAACTCACAATCAATTGCCATGCAATTTACCAGATTTAAACCATATATATATATATATATATATATATATATATATATATA